GGAGGAGGAGGAGGAGGAAGAGGACACGTGCCACGGTGCTCCGGTGAATTCCAACGTGGCTGTAGATCAGCGCGGCGACGAGTAGACTTGCCGGAAACTCGGTGTGGATCAGAGGGGGCGCTCTCTCTCCTGATGCGAACGCCCCTTACGGTCTCTTCCTCCCTTCCCTTCTCTCCTGTTTTCCTCCTCTCCTCTCATCCCTCTTCCTTCCCTCTCCTCCTTCCTTTCCTCCCACCCCTGTTCTCCTGTCTCCTCTCCCTCCTTCCACTCTATGATGTCGCAACGTGATGATCCGTCCACGCGCAGTTTGAAGATCTGGCGGGACGCTCGCATTGATGCTCGCCTTCGGCATCTGCTGCTCGGCATCAAATGACTCGCTTGGCAACGGCCTTCTCCAGCAAGAATTTGCGTCGATTCTGGCGAGCAGCGTACGTTCTCGTTTCATCAAGATTGACAGAGTCATGCATATTCTCGGTGCGAAAGCATACCTCGATGCGGGCTGATTTTGCATAGTTTACAGACCCGATGGCTTGCTACAGGTGGACCTCAATGATCATGTACTGCAGAGACCCTGCGGCCAGTTCCACCGACACTGGATAGAGCCGCGTGGGTGCAAGAAGCAGAGGCTTGGCATCGCTCGGACGTGTGCATTTTTTCTCGGCGAGGACCATCGAGGAGCATCTTTGATCATTTAGCGGAAATGCACGCACGACATCGAAACATGCACGGGGAATGAGCGTCCGAGCGATGGCGAGGAGGGGGGACGGGGGCAAGGGGCTGTGGCGGCTTCAATGCGAGGTTGAACATCCAGTGTCCTTCGGCCCATAGCGCCACTGCTAGGGGAACAAAAAGTGGCATGAACATAAAAACTCGGAGGTCCGCGCGGATTTCTCGCGTCGGCGCTGGACCCCCCTCCCTGGCGCGCGGAGCGCGCCAGGGGCGGCGCCAGAGGCGCCGCCGGGGGGTCCCAGCGCCGATCCGAGGAATCCGCGGGGACCTCCGAGTTTTTATGTTCATGCCACTTTTTGTTCCCCTAACTGCGCCCAGGTCGTGCTCCAGAGACCTCTTTTGGAGGCCTTTTGATGCCTCTCTTGGGGCTTCTTGGGGGGGCCTCCTGCGAGCCCCTCGGGGCGCCCGGGCCGCGCTCCGGAGACCTCTTTCGGAGGCCTTCTGGCGCCTCTTTGGAGGCTTCTTCGGGGTCCTCCTGGGAAGCCTCTTGGGGCTCACCTGGGAAGCGTCCAGGGGGCATCTCGGGGGGGCGTCTTAGGGGGCCTCTTGGGGGCCTCTTGGGGGGCTCTTGGGACTCTTGGGATCTGGGGGCCTCTTGGGGGCCTCTTGGGGGGGCTCTTGGGACTCTTGGGATCATGTCGGAGTGAGTGGCGCTTCCAGCGTCGCGGCCCTTTGCGCTCTTCGCAGTTCCCTCAGGTTGCCATCTCGAGATTATTCCCAACCATCCTGTGGTGTTGGGACAGCGTTTCGTGGCCCCATAGGGAGCCCCACCGAAGGTCCCAGTGCTACCGTCCGCATGCGTCCCGCACACCCAGTACAGCGTTTCGTGGCCCCCTCCTCCCTCCTCCCTGCGTTTCACCCACCCAGTACAGCGTTTCGTGGCCCAATATGGAGCCCCACCGAAGGTCCCAGTGCTACTGTCCGCATGCGTCCTGCACACCCAGTACCCCATCAGGAGCCCCACCGACGGCCCCAGTGGGACTGTCTGCATGCGTCCCGAAAACCCAATTTGGCAGTTTCGGACCCAGTGCAGCGCTTCGTGGCCCCATAGGGAGCTTCGCCGAAGGCCCCAGTGGGACCGTCTGTACGCGTCCCGAAAACCCAATTTGGCATTTCCACCCACCCAGTACAGCGTTTCGTGGCCCCTATAGGGAGCTCCACCGAAGCCCCCAGTGGGACCGTCCGCATTCGCCCCGGAAATTCAATTTTCATTTTCACTCACCCAGTACAGCGTTTGGTGGCCCCATAGGGAGGTCCACCGACGGCCCAGTGCTTACCGCCCGCATGGGTTCCCCAGTGCAGCGCTTCGTGGCCTCATAGGGAGCTTCACCGAAGAAGATATTCACAATTGCGGTACCAACAACTGCATATGGTTGGGTCCTTCGCCAGGATAATTTTTTGGGGCCTGTCCTGTGGGCATCTCTTGGCCTGGCCTCGGGGGCTTCTTGGGCACCCCTACGACCGAAGCGGTGATAATGCGAAGATTGTGCAGACACCGCATGGGTTCAGATGCTTCTGACGTTCGGGGCTGGGTCCGAGAGCTCCCCAGCAGCGCTGAAGCTGGCCTAGGTTGGTCGCTACTAGAGAGCTCTAGCGGTCGCTGGCCCACAAAAGATGGCCAGGGGGTGTGGGGCCCGGGGCCACCCCCTCAGGACTCTAGTTGGGCCTCCCAGATGGTGTCCGAGCAGATGGGGTCGGAGTATCGCGCCGCATCACCGATGCATCTGCGATGCGGCTCGATGTGGAGCTCGATCTTCTCCACGCCGACGGCGCCAATGCATCCCCGACGCCGCCGATGCATCGCCAATGCATTGCCGAAGCATCGGCGATGCGGCGCGATCGTCCGACGCCATCTGCTGCGACCCCATTTGGGAAGGCCTCTAAGGACTCCCCCCTCGAAGGTTGCCGCGGGGCTGCAGGTCGAGGTGTTGTTTGGCAGCGGATCGATCCGGCAGGGAACCTCAACGCTGTGGTGATTCTGACGGCCGGCAGGAAGGAAGCCGTGTCACATACGTCATACCATGCTCTCCAGTCCCCTCCTACTCCTCTCTCCTGATCTTCTGTTTCTCCTCCTCCTCCTCCTCCTCCTCCTCCTTTCTTTTCAAACACCCCCTCCCCTTTTCCGCCCTGCGTGCGTGATGGGAAGCTATTTTCCAGCCGAAGGTCCTGGCCAGGCCCCTGGGGAGAAACTCACCTGCCGAGGCCCCATCGGGGACATGCGACTTTCCCTGGAACGCATCGGCTGGAATATGAGGTCTTTTACTGAGCTAGTCAACGATCTCGGCGAGGTCCTCAGCCTGACCATGTACTCCCCTGCCCTCGTCGAAAAAGGCTCTTGGTGAGGGAGTGCTACGGCAGAGTTGAAAGATAATCAGGACGCTCTTTGGGGATGCAGTCTGGACCCTCAGCGAGCGAAGAACGGTATAACATAAACTTTTTCGCTGTCGGGGGCGCCTGTCCCTGGGCGGCTGGAAAGTTTATACCCCTACAGTGCCACCGTAAGGGTATAAACTTTCCAGCCGCCCAGGGACAGGCGCCCCCGACAGCGAAAAAGTGTGTATTATATAGTTCTTCGCCCGTTACTAGAGCGTGCTGACGATGTTGTGTGGAGGCCGCCCTCCGCTCGTCGGAGCTCACGGCCCTCGGAGCAGGGCCGCAGCCGCGGCATGTGTGCCGCGGTGCCACCGGGTGGTGTGATCGGGCCAGCGCGTGCGGATGCAAGCGGAGCTCTGCTGCGTGCCCACTATGCAGGAGAGGAAAAACACACAGACACAATTAATCGTCGATTCCCCAGGAAATATGGGAAAATATGGGAAGTGGGGGGGAAGACAGAAACCCAGAAGATATGGGAAAGTATGGGGAATAGTGTTATTTGTGTGTATTTATTTGTGTGTCCTTGGGCCCCTTCACATTGTGCAGTGCCGCCCCCGACTCCATCATGCCTTGGATGTGGTTTTGCCAGAGTGCCCAAGCGCTGAGGGACGATCTGGTCAAAAAGAACACCCGGGAGGCAGCCCGATCTCTCGACCCCGCGAGTGCTGAGCGCGCTGCTCGTTTTCGACCAAGGGCGTCTTCCGGCACTCAGGCGGCCTGTGTGTGGCCCCGACCTCGAGCCACTGGCGGCGTTGTTGCATCCTGGGAAGGTGACCCCGACAGGGATGACGCAGAAGTTTCGGGCGATACTTTTACAGATGGTAGTTGTCGTGAGCACACTAGTAAAGAGTCATCCCGAGCAAGCTGGGGGGTTCCAGCCCTGTCTGATTCTGGAGCCCTCCTTGTTTCTGCTTATGGCTCCATGTGGGCCCCCCTCCCCCAAACCAGCCAGGCGGGGGAGTTTGGGGACTGATGCGGCCTCCCAGTGTATCACTGGACCGTCTAGAGGGCACTCGGATTGCCGTAATGTTGTCAGAGCCTTTTGGGACCCCAGGGAGTGGAAGCTCTCGCACAGGCGGTCCTACTCAGGAACGACTGCTCCGTGGGTGTCGGTGGTCAAGGTCGCAGCTCACGTCGAAGACTCCGATGACCTCACACCGCGGCAGACTTTTTAACGAGCGTGGGAACGCTGCGGGCCAACGCTGCCGCCAAAGCTGGCCTGTCCTGCCACCCTTCTGCTCCCAGCGAGATGCAGGAGGACCTCCCATGCACGATTCGTGTGGCCGAGGCGGTGCTCCGCCTGGGTGCCGAGCTCCTGCCGCTGCGGCCGCGCCTCGATCTCGGCGGCACGGAGCTGGCCAGACCTCCGAGGGGAGAGCCGCTGGCCGCCGATCCCGGTTTCCGGGATGACTGGGAGCGGAAGCGCTCCTGCTGGCGGTGCAGCGTGTGTCCTCGGGTGCGGAGGCGGGCGGGTCTCAAGCGCGGTGCTTCGCCCTGCCCCGGCCCCTCGGGACGTGCAGGAGAGGTTCCCGACTGCCTCGACGGTGTCGGGGCCCCTGGACACGGGTTGCTCTCTGCTCGGTGCAGTGGTGGTTCTCCGCTTTTCGTCTGCGTTTCCTGCAAGGCTGCGTCCACCCTGGGGCCCCTCGCGCTTCTGGGTAACGAATGCACCCACCTCACGAGAAAGAATGCCCAGAGGTGGAAGTACAGGGTTTGTGAGGGTAAACGTCCTCGCCGTGAAGGAGTTTTCTTGGAAGCCTCCCCCGAGGAGGACCCTGAGACTCACGGCTCCGCCCAGAGCGGGCAGCAAGATGAAGTCGGCCTCTCGTCTACCTCGTCTCCTACCGTCGTGGTTGCTGCTGAGCCTAGGCCGTCTCACCAGACCAGCTCCTCCTCGGCCCCACCTCCTCACTCGGGAGGGAGGCCGTGGCTTGAAGGAGGGGCCTCTCAGGTTTCCGTGGGCGAGGAGGAAGCGGCAGCCGCCCTCCTCGGACCCGATTTTGTTTCGGCCCCAGCACCGTGGTTTCAGGGCCCGCCCAACTGTCATTGCTGCTCGTGTAAGGTCAGTGGAGTCTAGCGACTCCGGCTGAGTTTGCGGTCCTCGGGTCGCCGTCCTAGGCGTTGGCCACTGCCCTGGTCTGTTTTCTTGCAGTGCCTCCAGAGGCACTGGAACAGCCCTGGCGTTGCACTCTCCAGGGGAAGGTTCATGTCAAATCAAATCCTCCTCCTTTCTTCCTCTTCCTCCTTCCCTCCCTCCCTCCCTCTTCCCTCCTCCTCCCTTCTTCCTCTTCCCT